CTGTCTCAAAAAACCAAAATAATAATAATAATAATAATAATAATAATAATAATAATAATAATAATATGTTGCAACAATAAAGGTGGACTGTAAGAAGATCTATATATCTATGTATGTTTGTATGTATATAACCTCTGACCCCAGTTTCTGACACAGAACTTTAAGAATTTCCCAAGAGATGAATGTAAGGAGCCTTTTACACAGAAATCCTAGATTCCTTGAACCTTCCCAAGTCTTTAGTCCAACCACATGACTTTTGTTAGGCTCTTGAATGGCTTATACCACTGGGGGATTCTAGGCAGGTGCTCTACTGCTAAGCCACGTCCCCAGCCCCTCACTGGGGATTCTAGGCAGGTGCTCTACCACTGAGCCACACCCCAGGCCCTCACTGGGGGACTCTGGTCAGATGCTCTACCGCTGAGCTGCATCTCAAGCCCTTCTGATCTTTACTCCAGGGTTCTCAAAGAAATCCATGACCTTTGCAGGATGCTCTGGGCTCTCATCCCCTCCCAGCCACGGAGTGTCACCCAGGAGCCTCTCTGGAGCACTCCTCCTCTCTTCAGAGTCAATCATGTTCCACAGAGAGTTGATGACAGGGAGGGACAGCCACCACAACAGAAGTCACATTTTCCTTGGCTTATCGAGGAAAGTGATGTGCCCAATGTATCTCACATAGTAAGGAAAACACCTTGGGGTTGCTCTCCTCCACCAGTTCCCACATTATCTTCCCTTTATCAAAATGTAGGGAGAGCCCAGTGTTAAAGACACAGCAACTTCTTTTTTAAAAAGATTTATTTATTATATACACAGTGTTCTGTCTACATGTGTCCTTGCAGGCCAGATCTCATTACAGATGATTGTGAGCCCCCATGTGGTTGCTGGGAATTGAACTGAGCTGTCTCTCCAGTCGCTCATAGCAACTTCTTGTCCCCCATAGCAGCAAGGAGCAAGCTGTGTCACCAAGTGGAAGTGAACCCTTATCCTGGCCTTTAGATAGTTTTTTTTGAGACACAGTTTCTCTTTGTAGCCTTGGCTGTCCTAGAACTTACTCTGTAGACCAGGCTGGCCTTAAACTCACAGAGATCCACCTGCCTCTGTAGATACTTTTTAAAACTAAAACTATATATTTTACCTCTTTTTCTTTTCTTACTTTCTTTGTTCCTTCACTTCTCTGTCTGTCTGTCTTTCTTTAAGGTAAGGTCTTGCTATGTAGCCCAGGCTAGTCCTGCCTCAGCCTCCTGAGTGCTGGGTTTATAGGCATGTGCCATTATGCTCAGCTGTATGCTTTTCCCCTTTCCCTCCCCTCCCCTCCATTTCCTTCCTTCCTCCCTGACAAAGTCCCATGTAACCCAGGTTAGCCCCAAATTCACTATGTAGCTAAGGATAGCCCTGAACTTCTATTTGGGGTGTTGAGGTTTGAGGGAAGGTTTTTCTATGTAGCCCTGGCTGTCCTGGAGCTCAGGATGTAGTTCAGGCTGGCCTTGAATCCAGAGATCCTCTGTCTCTACCTCCTGAATTCTGGGATTAAAAAGGTGTGTGCCACTGTGCCTGGCTAACCTTGAAAATCTGATCTTCTGCCTGGATGCTGGGATTACAGGCATGAACCATCATGCCTCATTTTTACAGTGCTATGGTCAAGACACAATGTCCTAGCCGGGCGTTGGTGGCGCATGCCTTAATCCCAGCACTCGGGAGGCAGAGGCAGGTGGATCTCTGTGAGTTCAAGACCAGCCTGGTCTACAAGAGCTAGTTCCAGGACAGCCTCCAAAGCCACAGAGAAACCCTGTCTCGAAAAACAAAAAACAAAAAACAAAACAAACAAAAAAAGACACAATGTCCTGTGCACAAGGCAAGCACTCCATCAACTGACCTACATGAGATTAAAGATGCCGCCATCGGGTCCTCCATTTCAGTTGAGTTTTTATTTGTTCAAAGTTCTGAGGTGAGACCAGCCTGGATCCAGTACCCCCAACATGCTTGGGAGTTACTACTGTTGACAGAGCTTCACCCACAGGTGGACAGACAGCCTTCCCTCAAGCCCCACCCCAAGACAAGGAGCCCATTGAAGCCAGCAGCAAACAAGGTCACCTGCAGGTACTCCTTATGCACCTGGGCTCTGATGATGCCTTTGAGCCACCCAAGAGGAGAGCACAGAATGACTAATGCCGTTCTTCTAGATCCTTCTTCCTCAGCACAGGAAACACCAGAACTCTGGCACGCCTGGAGCTCCCTCGGGTTATCACAGAATAAATGCATTCCCTAATAGAAATGCTGAGAATGGCAAAATGAACTCAGGCCTCATCCTAGCTGGTGTGCCAGTCCCATAGCAGCCTGTTAAGGAGTCAAGACCAATGTCCAAGTTCTGGGACAGAGGAGAGGCAATTAAACCCCAGTGCTGTTGCCATGGTGTCTCTGGATGGAAAACTTGCCCAGTGCCTTGGCACCTGCGGAAGGCTGCTTTCTCTTGGCATCCAGGACGGCAACTTGGGGTCACCACAGAATTTATGGCCCCTCTTGGTGATGAAGCTGTGGGGGGAAAGGCAAGGGTTGAGTCTGAGGTCTGGCAAAAGTGAGTGTGGGGGACCAGGAGTCTCAGCTGCTCTTCCTTGGTGCTAGGATGCTTTCCCTCTGTGCATTCTGGGTTTTTACCATGGGGGCAGGGGCAGGAGGTCCATAGAGTGTAGGATGCCATGCTCATTCTATGGAGGCCCTGCTTTTGAGTTATGCTGGGTGTGGCAGAAGATGTGGTCTCTATCTAGAGCGAGGAAACTGAGCCAAGAAGACAGCTCTGCTGGAAAAAGTCTGCCTTGAAACTGTGAGAATCCAAGTTCAATCCTCAGTCCCACTTTAAAAAATCTAGGCACAGTAGCGTGTGCTTGTAATCCCAGCACTGGGGAGGCAGAGACAGGTGGGACTTGCCAGCCAGTTAGTCTAGACTACTTGTTGAGTTCCAGGCTAGCGAGAAAGCCAGAGTGATGGCTCAGCAGGTAAAAATGCCTGCTGCCAAGCCTGATAACCTGAGTTCTATCCCTAGGACCCACAGGGTAGAATGAGAGAATTGGCTTCCACAAGTTGTCCTCTGACCCCCACACATGTGCTGTGGCATTTGTGCATGTGTGTGAACATGCACACCTGTGCGCGCACACACACAAATCTTAAAGTGTGTTTTTTTTAAAGACCCTTATCTTGAAAGAGGTACATGACATCCTTGAGGATGACACCAAGATTGGCCTCTGGCCCCCATAGGCATGCACACACACATGTACATGCACACACATATGTGCTCTACACATATACACACCTTTAACATTGTGCATGGAAGCATGTCTCCTGGGCATGCTATAGTTGGGAAGGGAGCCTGGGATGATCCCTTCCATGCCTGCTCTCAGAACCAGTCTGATGCCAGCTGGGGAATATATTAACATTCCCATTGTGCACCATCGCTTGAGACGTAAGGTCATGCTTGTTACCCCAGGTGAAGAGGTGGCTCTGAAGCTATTTGGAATCTAGAAGTTTGGTTGGTCATGTGACCTTGAGCCTCAACTTCTTTCAGTAAAAGGGAGAAGTCTTATGTTCTCTATAAGATTGTTTTTGTTTTTACCATTTTGGGCTTTGTGCATGCTAGGAAAGCACTCTACCACTGAGCCACACCCCAGCCCCTCACTGGGAGATTCTAGGAAGGTGCTCTACCACAGAGCCACACCCCAGCCCCTCACTGGGGGATTCTTCTAGGCAGGTGCTCTCTCACTGAGCCACACCCCAGCCCCTCACCAGGGGATTTCAGGTAGGCTTTCTAGTATTGACTTGTGGAATTGTTAAGATTAGTTAGGATAATGTCATAGCATTATTTCCCTCCATGAACAATGCCTTGCCTGCATTTCGTACTTCATGGATGTTCTCAGCCTTCTGAATGTTGCAATTACTGGCATCTACCATCATGTTCTGGTTGTTATGTGATGCTGGGGATTGAACACCAACTGACTACCTCCCCCTCCCTGCCTCTGTTTCCTCCTAGCTTTATGGGTGAGGAAGCTGAAGTCCAGAGAGGTCTAGTCCACTTTCAAAAATGCCCAGGGCTGAACCTCTTCAGGGACCCTGGCGGTTCCTGGAGTAGATACTCACATTACTCCTGCCTTGGGGCAGACGCTGCCGTTGGCTAACTGGTAGCTAACCACTCGGTTTTCTGGAATTTCCTTGGCAATAAAGGACATACAGCAAGAAAAGGGAATGGTCACAGAGTCTAAAAGGAAAAAGGAAAAATCTGTGTCGGCTTTCAGCCTGCTATGGCTCTTTCTTAGCTGCAATTATACTCCAGGCCACTTAGTGCCTTCCCCAGCCCCAGGCTGCTCGGTTCCCTCACCCTTGATTGTGTCAGTGCCCTTAGAAGCTACCAGAAGCTCCAGGCTGGGCTCAGAAATCTCACCTGTAGGGCAGATGTAGCACATGCAAGCTACCAGGAGTAGAAGGCTGGCTACGATGGTGGTTGGGCTTGCCATGTCTTGGAGATTAGAGGCCTCGGCTCAGAGGTCAAAGCTGGGGTGCAGAAAAGATGGCCTGGAGATATGAGGACACCCCAACCTCCCTCCAACTGGCCTTTATATGACCAGCTCAGGAGATACACACACTGGAGTCCCTCCCTCTCTGCCACAGGCTTCCTCAGAAAAAAAAAAAAAAAAAAAAAAAAAAAAAGCATTCTGTGGTCTAAAAAAGGGGGAAGTTATTGTCCACTTCTCGTCCAGCTGAGTCAGGGATGATCTGGGGCTCTAGCAAGGCTCTAGCTGGGGGAGGTTTGCCATCCTGCCTGGGCCAAGGCCAAGGGCAGATGTTTCAGATGACTTGGTTCTGCTTATCATGCGAGGTCCTGGGGGGGTCACTTAGTTTTCTGAGCCTCTGTTTTTGTAGATGCACAATGGGTAGAGTCGCCATATTGGCCTTCCTTCCATCTGTCCATCTATCCATCAGTCTACCTGTCCATCTGTCCATCCACCCATCGATCTCCCTGTCCATCCATCTGTCCATTCAAAGGAAACTTAGAGGGGCAAAAACAGGCTCCCTGAGATGATGGTTTGTTCCCAGAAGGCACTGGGAGGATAAATGGTGGGAAGTCACAGGGGTGATTATCTAAACAGGACCAATGGGGGCAAGGGGAGGACACAGCAACCCTAAAATACCCAAGCCAGCATTCATTTAAGGACTTTGAACCTTAGGGTCCCTCACACCCTCAAGGGATAAAGTGGTTACTTTTTCTCTATGGCTTGATTTTTCTGTCTTTCCCTGAAGTTCAGTTTTTTTTTTGTTCATGTGGGTAAACAAA